AGTGGTCCTGAATCTTTTCTTCTTCCTTCAGGAAGTAGTGGATATCGAACAGAAGAGAATGATGGTAGACCTGGTTGTTCATTAGAGGGTCGCCGTGCCTCCTGCAAAAGGAAGGCTCTTGAAGGACATGTTGAACAGTCCTCTGTGAGTGGAAGTTGTAGTTATTTTCAGCGTTCAGAAAGTAGTGCTTGGCCTGCCGTTTCTGCTCACTGTGATGGAGGCAGCAGTTTAAGTATGTCTGCCCCATCAGAACAGATGAACTCAGGACTTGTGCTTGGTGTGAGGGCACCAGCTTCTGATCGTGTTCCTGATGCATATGTGGCAGGAACTGCAGAAAGCTCCAGAAGAAATTTTCGTGTGAGGATAAATCCTTCAGGCCATCAAGAATCTCTTACCCCTCCTCTATTTTCAACAGGGAGTCCTGTCAGGCATTCTAGTTTTTCATCTTCGCACCACTCGTCAAGACTTCTACCAAATGATCAGTCTTTGGACTCAAGGTCTGCACCAGTAGTGGATAATGCAAGTCCTCAAAGTCAGCCTATTCTTATGCATGTTCCAACTTTACCTCGAAATTTGCAACCTTTTAGGTGGGATAGAGGTTCTACCTCAAGAACTGGGAGTTCATCAAATTCTAATGTTTCTAGAGATAGAGATGCTTTTCCACGCGAGGAAGCCCGGACAAGAAGCATGGGCAGAAATATATTGGAGCATCCTATGTTTGTACCCGCACCTGATTTTAGAAATTTGGTTCGAAATCAAGCGAATAGAACTTTAGCCGGTGGTAATTTAAATATACCTGGAAATGTTGCTTCGTCATCTCGGACGGGTTCGAGTTCAGGTGTCCAGCCATCTGCTGGTCCTTCGTGGGTTTCTCATCCAAATCCTCCTCCCCTTCAGTATCCACGGAGATTTTCTGATTTGGTTCGTCGGTCTCTGATTTCTTCCCTTGGTCCAGAGTCTGGGGGACATAGCAATAATCAAACTCCGTTGCGGTCTGCTCCTCCCCCTTCCCCAGAAGATATGTTGCTTTCATCTGGAGCTGTTAATCAGGGTCATCATCAATCGTACCCAAGAGCAGCATCATTGTTGGAGAGACAAAATGCTGGTCTAATTGGATTTCCACAGCCACTGCGAAGTTTGACTCCTTCCTTTGAAGGAAGAAGCAGACTTGTTGTATCTGAGGTATGTTCTCGAATACTACGTGTTCTGTGGTGATGTTTTTTCCTTGAAATTCATTGGTAACATGATTTTATTTTTCGGGGTAAGCATATGATTTCTTTGACTGTTATACTAGCTTATGGGCTGATCTAATTGTAGTCTGGTTCTAGCAATTATGATAGCTTCTTTAGTTTAAAAGTCAGAGCCTGTGATATTGAACATGCTCCTATTTTAACTCATAAACTTGTTGGCTTTACTAAGATTGTGTTTTCTCTTCATCCGACCTAATAGTATCTGGATCATGTGTTGATGAAGCCTCTAGTACCATCATTTTCGGAGTAAAATTATACATATTTTCTAGTTCTTAGTTGCTTCTCTCTAGCTGTGTTTATTTGACGTATCATTCAATTTTTATATTTTTTTTCCAACTTATAAATTCAGATCAAACCTCTTCCAATATTGGTGAGCTAGTTTTGATTCCAAGACTTTTTGTCCTGTTTAACTAGCTAAGACTCTTTAGTTCATATTGCTACCGTCTGAAACTTCTTTTTTGTTGATTTTAAAACCTCCATTCTTGTATCTGAACTTCTGATTTATTGTTGGATTTTTATTCTTTTGCTTTTGCCTGAAATTGCACAATTTTCTACTTTCAAAACAAGAGTTTTTGGTTTAATAATTTCTTATGCAGGGTATATGAATCTGGTAATTAGTTACAAGTTTCCAGTTGTGTTACTCTGCAGGCAAGATGGTTGATTGGGCATTGTGTCTATCCTTTATTTTAAGCATCGAGGCAAACTTGTTGTCTGTTAGTGTTGGTGATCATATTATTTGTATTGGGACATCATCTGGTAGAACGTGTGTAGATCTGTTTTCTCATTTGTATTGACATAATCCAGTCATGTTTCCGAAGTTCTTGTTTTCCTTGTACTCTTTTGTCTTAGCCTCTGAGGTATCCAATTATCTTTGCAAATAGTAAACTGGAGTTTACATTGCTATTTTATCTGCAGCAGTTTCGCAATGTGCTGGATCTCATGCGTAGGGGAGAAGGCTTGCGATTTGAGGTCAGATTTATCATTTACTGTTTATTTTACTAGAACCATCTGTAGAATTCAACTTTGGTTAATAGAGACATGCGAATACTCACAATTTATTTTCTCATTATCATTCATGGTAGCACCCATAGCTGGCAAAATTTTGTTCAGAAGCCATGAATATGGTTTTTAAGGAGTTGTCTCTAGAGGTGAACACGAAGACTCAGGAAAATGCTAAAAGATTGATGATTTGACTGATGACATATGATGATAAAGACTAATGATGATTTGGTTTCCATCCGAGGTCGATGGTGAAATTAAAAACTGTCTGCTATCAAACTTGTCCATTAGGTTACTGCATAACATTCAGTTTTGGCGCTTTTTTTTTTTCTTCTTCTTCTTCTTCTTTTGGGAGATCCATACATCAGTCAACCTTGCCCTTATTCGATGAACATTCGTTTTTTCTATTGTGCATCTTGCAGAGTATGCTTTCTAGATCACATTGCAAATTTCTTGGTTTCTAAATATAGCAAGCATTGTAAATGCCTTGTCTAACAATAAAAAAAGAGAAGTTAGGATTGGGTACCATGAGGGAGGTTGGAATATGAAATTCTTATGATTTAATTTCAGAGAATAAGGTTTAGTTCTGGGAGGTAGATACATGTATAAATCATTACTGCGTTAATATTAATGGGCAACTTTCTCATTTGAAGCTGCATGGACTATGACAACATTTTGGTGTGTGGTTGTGGAAACAGGTGTCTTTAAAAAGTAATCGGTTATTTCTTACCAACTCGTTGTCTGGTATTTGATTTTTTGAGTGTGCTTGTGTGTCAGGATGTTATGATCTTTGACCAGTCGGTCATTTTTGGGGTGGCTGACATGCATGATCGGCACAGGGATATGCGGCTTGATGTTGATAACATGACTTATGAGGTAAAATAGACAGGATTTTTAAATCTCTATTTTCCTGCTTTTATAATGAAGATTTTTGTTATAATACGAGTATTGGGATTATATAGGAGTTATTGGCTCTGGAGGAGCGCATTGGTAACGTAAACACAGGATTAAGTGAAGAAACCATATTGAACCGTTTGAAACAGAAGAAATATTATATCTTAACAGGATCCCAGCAGGAGACAGAACCATGTTGTATTTGTCAGGTAATTATTTATTTTGTGAATCATTCCCATTTGTATTTGCCAGGAAATGATCTTTATCTTCTGTAACAGATTTTGCCCACCTGTTTGTTTTGTGTGCCTTAATCATTGTTGTTTCTATGCACAGGAGGAATACAATGACAGTGAAGATATTGGAACGCTTGAATGTGGGCATGATTTTCACACTAGTTGTATCAAACAATGGCTAATGCACAAAAATATTTGCCCTATTTGTAAAACAACAGCCCTTTCTACATCATAGAAAGAGAACCATTGTTGGTTCTCCTTTTGGATGCAAGAGGGTTGGCGGAAAATTTGTTTTAATTTGTCATTCATTGGATTCAATACTGGTAGGTAATGCAATGTGTAACCTGCCAATATTATTCACCCATTTTGAAGCTAGTCCATGGCTCTCCTTGTTGGAAGCCAATTATTTTATTTTTATTTTTATTCTTTTTGGCTAAATTTATTGAAAATTTGAAACAATCAAATGGATGGATGTCACAAATGTCTAAAACTTGAGATAGCATGATTAGCTTCTGGTTTTTCATTTATCAATGAACAATTAAGTTTATGATGCCTATTAAACAGATGAGTCAGCCTGTTGGCAATACATAGATTGTTTTGATTGAGTAATTACATTAAATTTTTAAATTTTTGAGTCTTTGATCAATTAGGGATTCTGGCAGTCGTGGTGAGCACCAATGAAGACAAATCCTTCCACACTCGGTTAAATGATTTATTTATCGCTCTGATGACAGAAATTCTGTGTTTTGTCAAAATCCCCATTTGCTTTGGATACGGTTAATTCCGTTTCAGACAATTTCCTGGAAGCGACGAAATTTGTCTGCGGGACGGGTATCCTTTTAAATCATTTTAATATTAATTTCGTGTAAAATTATATATCATGTGAGAACAAAAAGTCTGGATAAGATCTGAAACGAAAATCATAAAATTGTAAACAATAGATTTGAAGCATAAAATCTCAGAAAATAAAATACAGAATGAAAAAGATGTCAATTAAAATACTGTATCTTGCAACTTTTTTGTTGGATTTGTATATTAGCCCAATCCAGGTTCCGAAGGGTGTTGAGGTATATAACAGTTTTTAACATTAAGGTAAGAATATAGAGTATATGGTCGAATAGCACTTTATTTAAACTTGAAAGAGCATTAAATAGTGAGAAATTGTTATGGAAATTTGAAGAAAATAGTGTAGAAAAGAGGTGACATTAGGAGAGAAGAGAATAGTGTTTGGCAGAAAGAATGCAAAGGGGAATGGGCGGATGGATGATAGGGTAAAGTAACCGTGTTGGAAAACTAGTTAGTAGCAGTATGTTGCTAACACGCCACTATAACTTACATCGGGAATTGCACCTTATTTTTTTTTTTTTTAAACCCTTATTTATTGCTTCTTTCTGGACAAATATGACGTTTGCTTAGATTGAGATAAGACACTCAACTTTGAAATCTGTCTCTTTGACTTTCCATCCTCCATTACATCTTTATTTATCACCATTCCCCTATTCACACCTCCTCTACTCGCCTTTTTTTCAAAAAAAAAATGATTTCTCTCTCTAACCTTACAAATGGAAAAAAAAATGGATCTATAGGGATTAGATTGATAAATATGAAAGTATTAGGGCCTAAAAAAATCGAAGAAAATAGTGTGTATAATTAAGGCGGGAGATTAATCAAATTTGTTCGGTGGATAAACCATAAACCCCCTTAAAAGAAGAAAAGCCAAGTTAAAGAGCACAGAAAAAGAGAGAGAAAGAAGAAGAGAACACAATAAATTGAGAAACGATACAATCAGAGACGGTTTTGCACATTGTCAATATGCAAACAGACCTTCCTCTCTCCCTCTGCTGATCATTCTTTTCTTCTCCATACTGTTTTTCCTACATTATTTTTATCGGCGAATTCATGGCGGATCTGTACGGAACTAACCACCGACTTCTGCCCACGAACCGAAGAAATCACCTTATTTCTCAACCAACTTATCCACAATTCTTCAGCATCATCTTCTTCTTGTTTATTGCCTAAACCGGAGGATCGCAACCGATTTGGCCGACGGCTGACCCGTCGCTTCTTGACTCCTCTTCAACGCTTTGTTGTCAATTTCTCTAACTTTATGGTTTCTGGGGATTCTGATACCAATGACAGCGAGGTAACCGTTGTTTACGTCTCTCTTTGTTTTTTTTTTTTTTTTTTTTTTTTGGACTTTGGGTCTAACTTTTTTGTTTTGTTGAATTTAGAAGGGTCTGGAGGCACCGGAGGTGCCATCAGACAGCGGAGGTCGAAATAAAACGTCGTCCTCCAAAAGGAGCAGGGCCGCGGAAGTTCATAATCTGTCCGAAAAGGTTTTTCAAGCCTCCATTTTTTAGTATATTTAGCTTATTATTATATTGAATTTATATATGGTTATGAGGTTGTTGAAATGAAATATATGGTTGATTTTTGGGCAGAGGAGAAGGAGTAGGATTAATGAGAAAATGAAAGCTTTACAAAACCTAATCCCAAATTCTAACAAGGTATTTTTGTATTAAAATTTTTTAAGAGTATGGATCTTGATTTTAAGTTCAAATGTACGTTTCCACGTTAATTTTTTTTGCATGAAGATGAATGACACCGTGGTTTTACACTTTTATGTGACGATATGATAGACTGATAAAGCTTCAATGTTGGATGAGGCGATAGAGTATCTAAAGCAGCTTCAGCTTCAAGTACAGGTCAGTGTACTTCTTCTGTTTAGGTGCCGTGGAGTGATGTGATTGCTTTGCATGACCATACCAAGAAAATATTATGTTGACTTATCAAAATCAAAATTCCAGTGTGGAACTTATAAGTAAACTTAATATTGCAAACCGAAAAGCTGTTTCAGCTCTGCTATTGTTGTTCATGATGGGAAAATAATCATGTAACTGTGTGTTTTGAGATTGATCGACATCATGGATTAAATTTGTTTATATCAAATTGGGGTTAGTTATTGAAGGAAAGGTTTAAGAAAAAATATAAAAACCCTCTTTTGTGCTTTGAAAAGGTTATGCTCATACTTTGATTATTGTCAATCTAGCATCCCCTGTTCATGCCTAGAACTGCTCATCTAATATTCTTACGAATGAATTAGTCACCAATTGCAGCTCCGTTGTATCTCATGTCTGGATTTATTCTCCTCCAATAGTGACCAATTGCAATTCTGTTGTATCTCATGTCTGGATTTATTCTTCTTTAATACCTCTTGCCTAGTACTTGAAAGACATTGGCTAGTTGATCTTCCTTATTTTTTTATCAGAATCAAATTTGTCATCATCAATGAATAAGTCTCTCTATGTAACCAATTACCTATCAGAGTATATGGTTGGGGAGTGACAAATTGACCATACCATAATTCTATGCATGGTATCCTATATTGGTACTGTCATCTAGATCCTGTCAAATATGGTGATCAACCTTATTGACATTTGTTTCTGAGATTCTATTTTGGAAAGTGATCTATAACTTTTTCCTTAATTTAGTTTTGTTTGAGCCTCACTCTATTTATATTGGGAAGATTTTGCCAACAATTATTTCTGAGTGTGGTGGGGGAAAGAACTGTCCCTCTGTTCAGTCTCCCTCTTCTGTTCCTTCTGTTAGGAATACCTTTTCTTGTCCAGACATTCTCCCTGTTCCTTTTTGGCTAACCTGTCACTGCTTATTGTAGAATTCTAAACAATTTTCCTTTCGCAGGTTATTTATCCATTTTAGTAATATCTAACTAGCCTCCAATTGCTTGGCTTTCAAGTTCTTTTGTGTAATTGTTGGTTCCTAAATTGGTTTCTATCTTGTTTTAGGTTTGCTAATTTTTCTCTTTTTTTTCTTTTGGATTCTTGATGTTTTCCAATAATGTCTATCTTGTAAGCCTTGATGGTGGACAAAATGATTTTAACCTGACTGATTATGGATGTCATACAAGTTGTTTGCTACAGATTTCAGGAAAATTGCCATTTAGAATTTAACGTTGGAAGATTTTTAGTCATTCAACACAAGTTAGATTCATATTTCCCCCCAAAACACCAGGCTTTCTCTTTTTCCTCACTTCCTAAACAGTCGCAACAACTTCCTCTTTGTGTTATTGGCACCTTCAACTTGAAACATGATTTTAAACAAGATTTATTGGCTTTTGTTGACCGATATCACTTCACTTTGTCTTACTAACAACCATTACATTCTTGATATCAAAGACAAAAAGTTAAAGGTTTAGTATGTTGATATTTTCAACCATGATTCCATGAATTGATACCCTTCATTGTCCAAGAGACTACTGTAATTGACCTATCAGTACTGTGCAGTTTGTCAGGGGGAGAAGATTTTAAATGAAGCTAAGGCATTATTTTTATGGACCATTCATGTTGCTCTGCCAAGTTTCTATAATGTTATCTTTTAGGCTTTATTAAGATCAGTAACTGAACTATGCTGGACTTGTATTACCCACGTAATCACTGCTTTTAACTGTTACTGTAATTTATTCTCCTCTACCCCACTTGCTAGAACATTGGGAAATGGTAATGATATTAGACAAAATATCAATTATGTGTTTTTATTGTGATTGGTTCCACAGATGTTAACAATGAGAAATGGATTTAGTTTGCACCCAATGTGGTTACCTGGAGTACTACAGCCAATGCAACTGCCTCAAACAGGAATAGTCTTTGATGACGGCAATGATTTGCCGAATACCAACAGTGTAACAAACAATTTTTCTGCAAATGAAGAAACCTCAGTTCAAACTGCCTTCAATCTTTCCAACCAATGTACTGTCTCAAATCAGCCAATTGCCATACCTTCAGCAGCAGATTTTAACTCATCAGAAACCCCATTTGGACTTGAACCGTTGATTCAGGCTCACTACGCGCCCTTCAGTCTCTAATCTTCCAAGGTAACTTTAGTATGAGCAACTAATAATTTATGTTCACACTTGGAACTAACAGCAGCCATATTGTTGCAATGTGAAGGAAATTTGCGGTGAAGGTGTGCCACAAGTGCTTTTAGATATGAATTTCACTGGGAAGAGCTCTTCGTCTGGTGTGTCTTAGGCAATACCTTTATCCTCAGAATTGGATGTATGACAATTGTGATGACCATATGAACAGTAGGTTTTGGTCAAACACCATAGAACCTACAAATGATCTTTTAAACAACTGACATTTTACACTCTTTATCAGTTTATTTATGTAGCAAGCCACATTAGGTTGAACTGTTGACATCCGTTTAACCATATATAAACCTTTTTCATAATGTTTTGTTGTTTATATTATAAAGTCAAGATGTTACTATATTTTTGATGGATGTTGCTATTACAGCTTCTGAACTGGAATCTTGTTTGTTGGATGTTCAAGAAAAAAGAAATGGAAATCCTCCAATTTTCATTACAGATAATCATGGATCACAAGCATGAGTGTTTCCCTGATCATCCTTCCTCATTGGCTCATTCATACTATTGTTTCTCTTGCAAAATGCAAATGAAACCCTGGGTCAGCTGCTCGGCCTCTTCATATTTTGCAGTTAAATTAAGGGTAAAAAGGTAGTTACACCTAGACGAGGGAACAATAAACCATCGGAAAATGGTAGTGTTACAGTGGTGGCGATGGATGCGCGCCACAACATTCTGAGCAAATCAGTGAGCCCGGAGATCTCGGCCTGAAAGTAGTCCATTTAATCGTAAAAGGCGAGGAGATAGAGCAAATCTACATGCCATGTGCTGTAGATATAACATTTTCTCACCAATTTCCAAAAGACCCATTTGATAGCTAGTGTTTTCTAAAAGTATAATAACGTAAATATTTGGCTTATTTTGTGTATTGTACAACACATTTTTACTCAATTCTTAATTACTAATGTAGTAGTGGTGGCCTCGTAAATTATGGAGTCACTTTTAAAATGTGAGTGTACATCTCATGGTGAAATCAACTTCACTTAAATAACAAGTCAGAGACAAATACATGCTGTTAAGTGAAACAATAACGAAGATCACAGGGTGAGTTGTTGGTGTTTGGCAAAACAAAAATGCATGTAGGCAGGTAATTAATGTTTAAAAAAGGTAAAAGTAAATTCCTGGAGGGACAATGTGCCGGGATTTGGTTGAAGGTATTTGAAATGAAGTGGTTCCAGGAGGAGGCTTGCATCATCAAACGGATTCTTGTAAATATTATATGATGAGTTAGTTTCAGGATCATGATTGCTATTCAGATGGAAACAAAACCTCCAGCTTTACTAGTTAATAGTTATATATAAAGCCATAGTTTAGAGAATCTTGAAAAAGTTTTTGAGAGTTACACTGAATAACAATCACATCTTGGAACAAGAAAAAAGTTTCTGAAACTGAAACTTTTGTGTTTTATGAAATATGAGAGAGAAAGAGAGAGGGAGGGATTCTCTGTAATTGAATTGCAGGTTAGGTTAGAAAGATCCAAAACCAGAGAAATAAATTTTCTCATCTCATCTGCTAATTATGATAACGGCCATTTCATGGCTTGTGCTGTTGTATCACAGCACATGACGCGTTTACGTTTTCTTTGCTATTGTCACCCCTTAACTTCAATTCTATTTACCCAACTGCCACTCTCTTCATACTCCTATTGTCTTGAAATCTAGTTTTAACTAAAATGGGTAATGTGGTAATTAAAGAGCGAAAGAGGGTTAATACTGAATAAACAAAAAGTGTATGATGGTCGGTTGACGCGCGCCAAGCAAATGTATACGTTTTTGTTTGGACGCCAAATAACGGCATTGTCTCATGATTGTATTTCACCACAATCTTCCCTAAACTAGTTATAAAAACGCACAATCACTTGTCTTTCTCTGCAAAAAACAAATTATGTTGGCAAATACTTTTAATAATCAGTATTGCTCAGAGCAGAACCATGTATGGGGTGATTCCAGTTTTGATGATAGTAGTAAAGAGAAGTTGGAGATGAAAGACGGTGATAATTCAAGGTCTCATAGTCCCAGAGCTAAAGCACAAGTACAGGTGGGCAATAAGAGAAGTAGAAATAATGGAAAGGGTATTAGTTGTGGTGGTGGTGCTGAATCTGAGCATGAGATGCATATATTGACTGAGAGAGAAAGGAGGAAAAAGATGAGAAACATGTTTTCAAATCTTCATGCTTTGCTTCCTCAACTTCCTGCTAAGGTACTACTTTTCAATATTCAACTTCTTTCTACATGCTTTGTTTTTAACTATTTAAATTTCATTGTATGTATATAAGATCTTTTTTCACCGGCTTCTTTATGTGAAACATGATGATCATAACTTCAATATTGTTCAAATTTCTTCCTGTTCCAACAAATTTCTTAAAATAAGTGAAACATCTTTCGGAATCTGGAAAGCATTTCAACAAGTTCTTCGTAGAAAGTTTTGATTGTTACAGGTGGTGTCAGAGTTGCAAGCAGTGGATAAAATAGCATCCAGTTTCTATTTAATTTGCTTTCATTCCAGTTTTCGTTCTTGTCTTGTATACACTTTGATTAACCCGTAGTAAGCCTTAAAAACATGGGTATACATATTCTTCCGCGTCGTCTAATATGTTGCACACAAACAAAGCATAGTTGATATACAATCCATACTTGTGATTATAACTTCTAATAGTATTTTTGAAGTTTTCAATTTTATTTGTTCGGCAGTGTGTATTCTTCTCTAATTTGTTCGAATAGCCTTCAAAATGGTATTACTGATATTTGATAGCAGTACTGAAGTTCGATTCATATTGCTTGCTGAATGTATGAGTTCACATATATCTTAATTGTGTGCAGGTAGATAAGTCGACCATTGTTGATGAAGCGGTAAAATATATTAAAACCCTTCAACAAACCCTCCAAACGCTTCAAAAACAAAGGCTTGAAAAGCTTCAAACAGCAACTGTTGTTGATTATGAACAATCAATTATCACATCATCTCAGGTAAAAGCACTGGAGTCAAGGGAATCATATTTGGCTGATCAGGGACCATCACCAAAGAACTTGCCAATGCCCACATATATGCCTCACTCATCGTTTCAAGTCCCCATTTCTCCAGCTTGCTTTCAGACATGGTTTTCACCTAATGTAGTGGTGAATATGTGCGGGGATGACGCACAAATCAGCGTGTGTTCACCAAGGAAACCAGGGTTATTGGCCACCATCCTCTACATATTGGAAAAGCATCATTTGGATGTGGTGTCTGCTCATATTTCCTCCGATAACTACCGTAGCATGTACATGATCCACGCCCATGTAAGTCCAATTATCATTTCAATCATAAAACCTCTAATATATGCAGCAGTACTAAAGATTTGCATGCATAATAAACATGTGATTGGCTATTTATCGTGTGGAATACTGATTCTTTATTACTACTTCAAATTGTCGAGAAAGGTGTTGATCAGTTAATTAGAACGTCCTACATCTTGATAAATAAACAAACAAATTTGGAAATTAACTTCAGGCCAGGCGTTTATAGTGTAGCTATTTTGGTATCTATTTCTATATATATCCATTGTTATATTTAACGGGGATTTCTTATAAATATAGGCAAGTGGAGCTTCTGATCAATTTCCGGAGGCCTTATCGGTAGAGGAAATATTCAAACTAGCAGTAGGGGAGATGAACTTATGGCTCTTGACGTCTTGATGCACAAGTTAACCATGAAGAACGCGACAGATATATAAACCAAATGAACCATTTCTTTTTATAAAACAAATGTGGATTCCCTGTTGAGTCTCTTGAATCTGTTTTATTAGTTGCATGGAACAGTTTAATACATCCTTCAGTACAGATGTGGCAGATAGCTATAATATATATGCATTAGTATTTGAAATGTATGCACCGTTAAGATATGAAATTTTAATTCAATGTAGATATATGAATACATGAATATATATATAGACAATGAGTAATTATAGTAATGTTACTCGGGATTTTTGCAAAATTTATTACCATGCGAGTGCCGGTTGAAATATAATTATTTGTTCTACGTGGGGTAGCTATAGAATACATTTCCTGCAGAACCATTAATGGCTTCTTTTATCTCTTTACCAAGTATGGCAATGTAAGAGGATGTTGAAATGAGGCCCAAGGAAGCACATGGGCAAGGTGATGTGTTAGAAGGAAACATCGATTTTGCTATGATTTCACAAGTGAAAACAACCCCATTCTACAGACTACAGATAAGAGTGCTTCTCATTTACTAAAAAACCTAACCAACAAAGCATGCAAATCATGACAGATTCTAATAAATCACATTTGATTGTGACGCCATAATAACACGTTTAACCCCACCGCAGTATTGCCGTGAGTGTGCAAAAGGAAGTTGGAGCTTTCATAACCTAAATTTGGTAGCTGCCGGGTCAAGCCTTAATTTGCCTCTTCAAACACCTTTCTTAATTTGATAGTTGAAGGTGGGTCTTTCTCTCTTTACCCAATCTTTAATGCTGTAGTACAGATAAGATCTTTGTGAACCAAAACATTTACACATCACATGTACATAGACATCTTTTATCTGATATTCATCACCATTTATGATTTCTAAGATTTTGTTGATATAAGTGTCAATGTAATGTTGGTACTTTGAAGAAATCATAAAAATGGAACTTTCTGTAATAAATTTATAAAATATAGGCTTTTTCCTTTTTCTTTTCATTTTATTAATTGTAATACTTTGGATCAAATGGGAGAATAATTCATGAGTTAACTAATTTTTAACATCTAAACTGAAGAATTCCAACTACAATTTGCATCTCGGACAACATGTTCTTGTTAGATTTTCTCTTCTTTATAATTGTTGTGTAATAGTAATACTGTTGGATGTAGCAATCTTCGAAATTTGCAAAATATAGTTGTAATTGCAGGGAGTTAAAAACAAAAAATACACTAGATCCAATCCAACTACCGTTCCACTTGTCCGAAATGGTGCTATTTAACAAACAAATTATGGGTCCAACACGGTGCAGGGTCGCTCAAGTATGTTTCACCACGGGTGGACCTAAACTGGACCAGCCCAAAATTGATGTTAACACGATTGACTATTTGGCATATTTGGAATCCAGAGACGGCATTAACTGTTAAGCACCTGTTTAAAGCAATAATTAATAACGCATCCATTGTCAAAGCCTCAAATATAAAATGATAGATATTTAAAATTTAATACTCAAAAGTCCTATCACCACTGCCTTTCTTTTATTAAAATATTAAATATGTAGATACCATGAGTTAATTAAAAGAATCCAAGCCCAACCAAACACCAAACACCAAATAAAATGATAGATATTTATATTGTTGTTATTTACATGGATTAGAACAGAAACTCCACTACACTACAATACGCATACCTGGATTAGATATAGATGAAAGCATTTAAGACACGAAATCGTTCATGGAGTTTCGCTCAATTCTAGAAGTCCCATCATGCCAGCTGCTCTCTCCCTTCACTCTTCTCTTCTTCCTGCTACACACAGACACAGCTTAGCACTCTTTTTGTCTCACTTTTTCTTTCTCCTCCCTCATGAAATATTTCCTAGTTTCACTTTCACTTAAATTTTAGTTTTTACAACAACCCAGAACCCATAATGTCTGATTATTCCTTCTTGAACAATCAGCTCTCCAAGAGAACCTCCATTTTCGGCTTACGTCTATGGGTTGTTCTTGGCATATGTGTTGGAGCTGCTATTGTTCTTGTACTCTTCCTAATATCTCTTTGGTTCACTTCAAAACGCAACAACAATAATTCTAAACGACACAATAAATCATTCTCTCTTAACAACAGCAACCCAACCATTCCAAACATTTGTAAGGAAATCCAAGAAATCCGAATCGACCCTGACCCCAAACCGCCTAACCCTGACCCGTTACCGGAGCCCGACCCAATTTTGCTCGAAGAAAGCCCTGTCAATGGCCGCAATAGAATTCACGTCGAAATCGGGAAAGATCACCGGATTTCTTATCCGGAACGTGTAGGCGGGTCGTATCACGGGTCGGGCCAGGTCCGGTCTGGTGATCAGGCACCGGCGGTAATTGCGCCTGAGGTCTCGCATTTGGGGTGGGGCCATTGGTATACTTTGAGAGAGCTTGAGGTGTCCACTAATTGTTTCGCTGACGAGAACGTGATTGGTGAAGGTGGCTATGGAATTGTTTACCGTGGCGTGTTAGAGGATAACACCAAGGTTGCTGTAAAAAATTTGCTTAACAACAGGTATCAATTGCATTGATGGTTTCTAAAGTTAGTTGTATTATATGTTTTAGTGTTGCATGTAGTTTTCTTAAAGGTTGAAGAGGCTTTCTTGTTTTGTTGTAGGGGACAGGCTGAGAAGGAGTTTAAGGTTGAAGTGGAAGCAATTGGACGTGTGCGGCATAAGAATTTGGTGAGGCTGCTAGGATATTGTGCTGAAGGAGCTCATAGGTACTTTACTTTCTGAATTTTGCATCTTTCATATTGATACTGAGCTTTGCATGCTTGAATTTTTGGGTTGATCCATGTCATGGTCTTTCCTGTGTTTAATATGCTGTCTTGGTTGCGATAGGATGCTTGTATATGAATATGTTGACAATGGGAACTTAGAACAATGGCTTCATGGAGATGTTGGGCCATACAGTCCTCTTACATGGGAGATTCGGATGAATATAATACTTGGAACAGCTAAAGGGTAGGTTTTGATTTGAGTTAAAATAATCATATGAGCTTCTATCTTTGGTTTCTTTAGTTGATTGTTGTCGCTGAATTTTAATGAAAATGTACAGGCTAACGTACCTGCACGAGGGCCTTGAACCAAAAGTTGTTCATCGTGATATTAAGTCCAGCAACATTTTGCTTGATAAGCAATGGAATCCGAAAGTTTCTGACTTTGGCCTAGCAAAGCTTTTAGGCTCAGAGAGGAGTTATGTGACAACTCGTGTGATGGGAACATTTGGGTTAGTTGAATTATCACAGTTAATTTATTTCTTCGCATATGTAATTAATGATCCTGGCCAACCAATGAGGAATGACAACTATCTGGTTCTGTTTTGCAGGTATGTGGCACCAGAATATGCTAGCACTGGAATGTTGAATGAAAGAAGTGATGTCTACAGTTTTGGAATACTTATTATGGAAATAATTTCCGGGAGAAATCCAGTGGATTACAGCCGTCCTCCTGGAGAGGTTTGTATTTTTTAATTTGATTACTTGATAACATCGTCTTATGCTTCCTCTTTCTTTTGTATATATTCTGACAAGTTCACTTTTCAGGTGAATCTAGTTGAGTGGCTTAAGACAATGGTAACAAACCGGAATGCAGAGGGTGTTTTGGACCCTAGGCTGCAAGAGAAGCCTTCTTCAAGGGCACTGAAGCGTGCACTTTTAGTAGCTTTACGCTGTGTGGATCCAAATGCTCAGAAGAGGCCAAAGATGGGGCATGTAATACATATGCTCGAAGCTGATGAGTTTCCCTTCCGAGATGTAAGTCCATGTTCTTGTCTGCAGTAAATTATTCTTACTGCTCCTTTCTCAAAATTCCTTTCTCACATTTCTTTGTTTTTGCTAGAACTTGTTCAGCATACACTTAGGACTTGTGACTGTTAGAAGATTAAGCAAGAAACAATATCCTAAAATTAGATTGGAGCAGAACTTCTTATGGGACTTTTGTTTGCAGTTATTTTACCTGGATATGGTGTTTTAGAGAATGCAACAAAACTTTATGTTGACTGATTGGGTCAAGTTAGAATGTAAAACCATGATGTGTCAAATATGAATTGTGTTTCCTCTTAAATGTTTTGGTTTATTTGAAGGTCGGAAAACCCAAGACAACTTGAGGATTATTTAGAGAAAACCTTATGGTGCATTAGTTTTGTGGGGAACAGAAATCTGGGATTCAGGCTCCTCCTGGATATGTTGTATGTATGTCAGTGTGACTTGTGTTCAAATAAATTCAATAGTGAAATTCACATTTTTAGCACATAGAAAAGCTGTTAAAAAGTATTCCTTTATATGTTTGTTCCATGTATGCTTTGCTCAGCTCTCATTCAAGATTGCTTTTGACCACATGATTTCAGGACTGTAGAGCTGGTAGGGAACATGGGCGTCCACAGCGAGATGTTATGAGGGGTAGATTGATGGAGAAAGGTGTAAGTGAATCAGGTGACAGTAGTGGGTATGAAAGTAGTGTCCAAACCAATAAGCCATTGTGGAGAAAGCAAGAACCTGAAGAGCAGTAGCCAGTAGCCTTGCTACATCCTATGTAAGGTGAATTGACACACATTTGTTTGCCTTGTTCTCCATATTTACTCATTTCACCCGTATATGTAATTCATATCATTATCAGCTTGCGCTATTTGTAGATTTTGTAGCATTCTCTGTCTTAACCTGTATACCACAGACTTTGTATTTGATGCCTAAGTACTCTTTCTTGATAAATTGATCATCCGACTACCATAGAGGATGTGGTATTACTGAATTCCATTGGTTTGCACAAATTTTCAGAGTGATAAAGATGAAGTTGAAATTTGCTCCTCTTTTGCCTGGTATGTGTATTGATATCTGGTTCCGTCATGCTCTCTAAACTATTGGCTACTTAAATTATTTGGAAATCTATGAATGTAAATTACCTTATCAATTTCTGAGAATAGCTAACTGGTAGAGTTCCATTTTCACATGGGTCTCAAGTTTCACAAATTAATGCAACAAAATTTGAGTTTCACAATGGTTACTTTTCTTCCTTTCTTTTGATGAATGCAATTCTTTTTCTCTGATCACTAGATTGCCGTTCAACAACTAGGAAGAAATTTTTAAGTAATTATCTTTCGAGGATTAAACAACTTATTTCCTTTGAATTATTTTCTATATGAATTCTTGCATACAGATGAATCAACTTCTTTTTTGTATGATTCTTGCATGCATACACATATCTACACTAGAGTTACATGAGCCTCTCGTTCTAGATGTCAAAATTTGACAATGATGTCTGTCACCAACAAGAATGACAAAAAGAGACTGTCACATAAAATTTTGGCTGTCAATGGCAAAAAAGTTCATGTAGATTCTGTCCACTTATATCGTAATCCATAGAGGCAGCAGGCAGCATGATTGAGCATCAAATGTTGAACGTAAATTTCAGCGATTACGGCTTCTTAAGACTAAACATTTTTGGTGCCTTGTTAGGTGGGGGTAAGTTGAAATTTGGGTCCTACTAGTCACATGCGGTTTTTGTTTGCACTCTTCCATAGCCTTATAAGATTGTGGGGCTTGTTTGTTACTGGAGAAATCTTGACAGCTAGAGCCTTGGGAATCTTTGGACCCTCCATCTATGTATGTATTGCCCCAGTTTACGAAATCGTAAAGGGTCATAGTACTTTTCTCACTGGATTCGGCCTTCTCCATTTCCTTTCTTGGAGGCCATAGATTTTGTGTCTGTTTACTTTTTGACCTTGCCTTAATTAATAGCTCTCTCTCTTTTTTATTTATTCGAATGAGAAACCTAATTGCTGGTCAAAACTATTTCCCGCCGCTGGCTATATCAACTGCACTTGATTGATTTGGTTGAATCGCTGGATCCCTGTTGCTGTACTTGAGTAATTTTTGTAGCGACACCTAATCTATGCTTTTGACTGTTAATTATGTTACCCTTTTTAGTACTAATGCCTTCCGTCACCTTGAAATCTCGGCTTCCTTAAGAATAGTGTGCAGTCATCTTATCACAAAATTGTAAATGAATGACTGAAGGCGTGATGGTTCGAGGGGATTCTCGACTCTGCTTCATCATTTACCGAAATTCTGAAATTATTATTTGACATTGTTTGCGACTCACTGTTCAACAGGGGTAAACTGGATGTTTTAGAGTTAGGTCTCGGCCTTTGTCTCCTTTGCGACTTAATTGCTAATATAATTTCCCTCGAAAGACCACAAAAGTCCTCACCCGCTGCATTACAGCCTCCGCTCACGCGCTCAGATTATGTATTGATATAGTATATTAAACACTTACAAAAGCGACATACAAAGACAACCTCCACTCTTTATCTTCATCATTTCTTTCTCTCTTTCTCTTTTTTTTGTTTTTTTGTTTTTTTGTTTTTTTGTTTTTTTGTTTCTCGCTTTGTAAGCTTTGATAAGCTTGTTTATAAAGATAGACTTATTCATTTAGAAATCATGCATCTTGATTCTCAAAACTTAAGATAACCTTCAAACATACGCAGTGGATAAAAAGAAAAAGATAAAACTAGAGTACAGAGTCTACAGACTTGTTGGGGCAGAGTGTAAGGTATGTAAATGTTCAGAATCAAACCGGCTCCCTACCGGGCTTCCCGACTCTGAAGTTCAGTCTGTTAGGATTGCTCTTTCCAATTCCCATCACTGTCAGTAAATTCCATGTATTGATATGGTTTTGAATTCAGATTAATCTCCATCATAATTTCCATATCCTCTTTTCTCTTCTCTCTCTTCACATTCCTGCAATGCACCCAGACATCTTTGTGCTAAGAGTCATCACTTCTTTTCTTATTTTAATCAAGTGCAGAGCTAGATGCATTACAGCTTCCTCGTGGATTTAGCACATTTAAAAAAAAGAAAAAAAAAAAAAAAAAGGTTTGAATGTAAATGTTAGGAGTCCATGAATGATGCACCAACGTTTAACGTTTAGATGATTTTTTTGCCGGTTGGTGAATAATTAATTTCTTGTTTTCATCATGATGGAACTTCCATCGTTTCTGAACGAAGCTAACACACTTCTGTTCTGCAATATAATATTAAACTGCAAATCAACTCATGAAGAGGTCGCTGCATCTAACTATATAGGAATAGGATAAGATTACAATATATTTTATAACCCTTGATTTTGGTACACGATACAAGTTATTGATGCAGATTATTATAAAAACTAGCAAGCAAATTCATTTCACAAATCATGAGATTGTAAGAATGAATGTGATTTAGCTAGGTTTTAATGGCCACTATGGGGCTTGATACAGTATGATTATGCTGATCAATCCATTTGAGAAAACCATAAATCACCCTTGGAGCTTTTATGCCAATCTCTACACTCAAAATAAAATTCTGCTTCTGATATTTTTGAGTGAATGTTAAAGTGCTCGGCTCTATTGTGATTCTCATCCCAGTAGGAAACTCCAAATTTGCATGGTACACTGAATCTGGGTCTCCCACGTTTTTGACATTCCTGCTAAAGCTCTTCATGGTTTCATTGGTAAATGTGGCAATAAAAGAAGGATAATTGAGGTCAGTATGCTGTTTGCTGCAGTTCCAATGATGTCGTCGAATGACAGCTTTCATCTGATTTTGGTTATATCTTAGGCCACATAGGAACTCAATATAATCTTGAAAATCCATGTCATAGATGAGTCCGGGGTCCATGGCTTTGTTTGGATCTATATGGCCTGCCCCAAAATCCAGAGGTGTGGCAGGAAGGCCAGTTGTTTCATCTTTCAAAATACTACCAGTGTTGTCGATGGAATATGCTGTTGTCATTATAGCTGATCGAATGGCTGCTGGGCTCCACTCCCAGTGGACGGCTTTTAGTAAAGCTGCAACTCCGGCAACATGGGGAGTTGCCATTGACGTGCCTGAGTCTAGTTCATAATCTGATACCAAATCGTAGTTTCCAATTGTGATGAATGGCACGTTGGGTGTGACTGCGGCCAGCACATCGACTCCTGGAGCCAGAATATCTGGCTTTAGTACACTTGGGCTGATTGGATTCAGTCCTCTTGAAGAGAAGAAGGCCACTTGAGGCGCTGGTTTAGTACCCAATTTTGTTATTAGGAACCTCATACTTTTGATCTTTGCTCCTTTCTCTCGTGTCGCATACTCCCTAACTTTTGTTCCAGAATCAGTATGCAGAATCACACTGGGAATGACGAAATCATCTGGAAATAGATATGATGTATTTGACAAAATAATCCCAGCAAATGCGCCTGACCTATTAACCTCCCGTAATTGTTCATCAATATCAAATTTCCGGCTATAATCACAAAGGACTACCCTTCCAGCAACTTCATTTGAGTCCAATGCTTTATGGTTGCATACTGCTTTGCTTATATTGCCTTTGCCATAATATAAAGAAGCATTGGTAATGTAAATGCTCTGTGGAAAGTAAGATATACCTTCAAAATCTGAGTCATTTTCTAGAGTCACAGTTGCAGTAAAACTCCGGTCAATTGTGCCAGCTCCCACGGTTGTGATCCAAGGAGCTCCATTGATTATTGAGTTTCTAGCTCCAGCATTCCCTGCAGCACAGACAACAAAAATGCCTTTCTCGATTGCTGAAAGGGAAGCAATGGCAATGACATCTTTGAAATACGGTGTCTGGTCAAATCCAATAGACAATGACATAATATCAACACCATCCGCAATTGCTTGATCCATGCCTGCAAGCACATCACTTGCTGCGCTCGCGTCTGTGTCTCTTGCCCAGAGGACCTTGTACATAGCAACGTGAGCACCTGGTGCTATTCCTCTGGCTGTTCCTCTTGCATATCCAAAGTGACTTACACCTAATACCTGGTTACCAGCAGCTGTGGAGGATGTGTGTGTCCCATGACCGTCGAAGTCTCTTGGCGAGTCAAAGTCATACGTCTTGGAGATTTTTAGTCCTGCAGCTTTAATCCCTTTGCTAAAAGATTGAGCACCGATGAGCTTCCTGTTGCAGTCAGAAGAGCTAAATATTGTACCATTCTCACACTTGCCGTTCCATCTCTGTGGGATCGATGGCATACCGCTGTCACTAAAACTCTCGCTCTCCGGCCAGATTCCGGTATCTAAAATTCCTATGATCACACCTTCACCATATGAAGCAACTGGCCATATGCCAGAGTTATGCTGTAATCCAAGAAACTTGGGTGTGTGGGTTGTGAATAACTTGCCAAAGGTCTCTGGGTATGTGGCAAGATGAGCTGGAGATTTCTCGAGTTCAGATAAATGAGAGGGTGTGAGCCTGGCACTGAAACCGTGCATGACATGGTTGTACGAGTAGAGTAGCATTTCTGCTTCATCAGCTGGAGACAACGAGTTTAAAATGGAGTGGTGCCATGACTCGTGGGTTATGAAAGACTCTGGCTTCTGAGAATGGTCCAAGTGGATGATATATGTCTGGTATTCTTCAAGTTCTGACATTGCACTGTTAATAAATAGCAGCCAACACAGTGCATATTGTGAGATAAAGATGGAGAAATCCATTCTTTTAATCATGGCTGACACTAAATAAGAAGATGAACAAGGAAAAATATTGAACTTTGAAGGTTTATGATCCCTTATAAAAATAAAAATAAAAATCTGCACGAAGCTTCCGCTGTCAATTGCTCAATAATCAATATCGAAAATGATAGGACCACAGAAGGTTGTGCACCGAATCTATGCACCAAATAACATGGTAAAATCTTGACCGTTGATTTATTATCAGTTAATATTAATCAACGGTCAGGATTTTGTCACGTTATTCGGTGCACAGATTCGATGCACAACCTTCGATTGCTGTAGTATTACTCAATCAATATAGTATCTTAGTCTAATTTGTCTATTACCGGTTAGACTTCCAGTTGCATTCTCATTGCTAGAAAATATAGGAAGTCGTCAAGTCGTTCATTAACTTTATTTCTTTTTAACTTTCTTTCTTTTGAATAATCAGAGTGTGTGGATCAGTTTGCACAAATCTCAACTAATTTTCTGAGACTTTAAAACTATTAATTAGATAAAAAAATTATTAATCACCCCTATTAAGGGTCGTAGAGACTCAAATTCGAGAGAAAATATTAAATCATTCTCTTACTCTTTTACCATTAAAAGGATTCGAATTTGAAAAAACATTTAATATTATTTTTTACTCTTTTACCATTAATCAGCAGCGGTGTTAGGTTAAGCTTTGCAATGGCGTTCCCATGGCAAGATCAAAAGCAGATATTATTAAGCCTTAGAATTGTATTTTATTCGTTTTATGGACCATTGGCATCCTAACTTTCAAAAGTGGATGTGTAAGTGCTTTTAGACAAACAAAGTTAGGCATTTCCCTTTTATCCTCTCGTGCTTTATGTCAAATGCAGATTATCTTTCACTTGTTTTATCTTTCCTCATTTCTGTTATTAAATAATATCGTTGACATGTCCACAACCGAAAAATGGATCGAAACATTTAACACCGTAAGAAAAAAAAAAAAAAAAATTAACACTATTTTTTTTTTTCAGTTTTTATCTAATTTTTGTACTTCATTTAATCATTAACGTATCAGTGTAAAAATTAAGAGTAAACGACATTTTCCCACCCAAGGTTTGGCGAATTTACAAGGTCCCACCCCTAGTTTCATAAATTGCAAGTTCCCACCCTTAAATTAACACCGTTACTTTTATCTCAAAATAACCCCTACATCTCACATTTCTCTCAAATAACCCTCAAAAGAGATCCTAGCCAAGCCAAAAATCTGGCATGATTCCGACACCATTAGACCTTCCCGACACCACCATCAGCATCCTCTTATTCTCCTTATCAAAACCCCTAACTTTTCGACTCGATTGCACCTCAGCGAGATGCTAGAATTTGGTTGGAAAGGGGCGACAAAACGCGAAAACCTAAAGGAGAGGCGGCGGTGATCGACGGGCAATTGCAGTTGAGGATGGTGGGGGTTTTGGTGGGGGGAAGCCGGCAATGCTATTGGTGGTCTTGGGGGTGGTTTTTGGTGCCGAGACTTGCTGGAATTTGGATGAAACGTCGATTGACACTAAAAGTGATGACCAACGATTGAGGGTTCAATTAGGTGAGGAGGTTAGGAGTTTTGATGTGGGGGTCGAAGGGATTGTATTGGTGGTGTCGAGAGGGGTCGATTGCATCGGAAACAGGTCGGAATGACCTGAAATCATTGGTGGGGTGAATTTGAGAAGTGTAATGCTACATTTACACCACCCATTACATCATTTTCATTACATCATCACCATTTTACTAATAATTATTTTATTATAATATTAAAAATTTAAAATAATTAAAAATTTATGTGGATGTGACATATGTCACATCATAGTATAATGAAAATGGTGTAATGGATGGTGTAAATGTAACATTGCTCATTTTAGAAGTGAAGAGTTATTTTAAAATTTTTTGGTGGGGTGAATTTGAGAAGTGAAGGGTTGTTTTGAAGTTTTTATCTTTGAAATGATTATTTTATCCTTTTAACTGTTAGATTAAATAATTTTCTATTAATTTAAGGGTAAAAATCTGTAATTTATGAAACCAGAAGTAAAAACTTGTAGATTCGTCAAAGCTTTGGGTGGGAAAATGCCGTTTACTCAAGAATTAATAAGAAGTCATTACTTGTTTAGCTCTATATCTCTGGACCCGTGGCTAAGAAGGAATTAAAAATAACGGAAGATAAAAAGAAAATTTCGTAATCTAAGAAAAAGAAAAGAGTAATGCTACAGTTATCGATGGATGTACACTGAATTTGTACACCTAATGATGTGGCATAATCCTGACCGTTGATTTATTATCGGTTAATATTAATCAATAGTCAGGATTTTATCACGTTATTCGGTGCACAAATTTAGTATAAACTTTTCGGTAACTTTATCATTTTCCAATTATCTTTCTGTCAGTCTCCGGTTCCAAGTCTCCAACGTCTATCATACGTAGAGCGAATGGTGGGTCCCAACAAGTGCATTAAGTCCTATTTCTAGATTAAATATAGTGCAGAACGGCTTTCCCACCTTTGACGAAACAACACTTTTCCAGATGACACTTTCTCTTTGTGTAGGTTAGTTAGTGTTTTAATATAAATGATGAAATACTTTTTAAATAGTTTTTTCTTATTAATTTATTATAAATTAAAATTTAGTTAAATTAAAGTTTTTATTTAATTATTTATAATTCAAGTATAAAGATAATTATTTATTTAATTAATTATTAGAATATTAATTTTCTATTTTAATTAGTAAAATAAAATATTATAAATAATAGTGATAGGATATTAATGACATTTAAATAAATAAATATTAATATCGTTTAACTTTAACAATTTCATTACATTATTCCTAACTTTTTAGATGGTTTAATTTTTTTTTTTTTGACTTTTTAATATTTGAATTTTTGGCTAATTAAAAAATAATAAAAATTTAAAGTAAAATATTTAAAGTATTTTTCTTTTCAGTAAATATTAACGAAAACATAACAGAACCTAAGAAGGGTAGAAAGTGTCATTTTGAAACTTGATGGGTAGGAAAGTGTTTCGCCAACGTTGGGTTGGGAAAATGTTGTTCTCCCCTTAATATAATTCGAAATTGGTTGCTTTTACTGTTTATGGTCTCGTCTATAGCTTCCTCCATTTTAGGGCCTCTAATTTAAGTGAAGTTTAAAGAAAATGATCAATCTTATTAGTGATATGCTAATTGGTTTTACTTTATTATTTATTTATCTATTTCTAGATTAAAAATGAATGCTTTCACTTAATCTAAGCAGCTGCTGCGTAAAATTGCTTTTGGATTTAGAACCCTAAATAATCAAGTTCATGAATGATATGCATTATTCATTACAATTTGGTGGTTTCTGTTTATTTATTGTTATTTTCATTGCTTATTATCTTTCTTTGTTTTTGAATGTGGATCGGTTAATTTTCTGTAATATTCAAGAACTCACATCACTCAATCATGAATTGTCCCTTAATGTAATTAATATCATAAGATCACAATTTATTTTACTAATAACCCGTTTTGTTGAACACAATCACCTTCCCAAGCCAGATTGCTAGGTTTTAATGGCCACTATGGGGCTTGATACGTTATGATTATGTTGATCTCCATTTGAGATAACCATATGTCACATTTGAAGCTTTTTTATCAATCTCTACACTCAAAACAAAACCCTGCTTCTGATAATTTTGAGTGATATTGAGAGTGCTAGGCCTGTTCGGATTCTCTTCCGGTAGGAAGCTCCAAATTTGCATGATACTCTGATTCTTTTTCTCCCAAGTTTTTTACATTCCTGCTAAATCTCTTCACCGTTTCATGGTGAATATAGCATAAATGAAGGATAATTGAGTTCAGTATGCTCTTTGCTGCAATTCCATTGATTTCGTCGAATGAGAGCTTTCATCCGACTTTGATCATAATCTAGGCCGCATAGGACTCATATATCTTGAAAATCCATGTCATAGATGAGTCCGGGGTCCATGGCTTTGTTTGGATCTATATGACCCGCCCCGAAATCTAGAGGTGTGGCAGGAAGGCCGGTATTTTCATCTTTCAATAATATTACCAGTGTTGTCAATGTTATATGCTGTGGTCATCATAGCTGATCGGATGGCCGCTGGGCTCCAATCCCAGTGCACAGATTTTAGTAAGCTGCAACTCCGGCAACATGTGGTGTTGCCATTGACGTGCCTGACCATAGTTCATAATCTGATACCAAATCGTAGTTTCCAATTGTCATGAGGCATGTTGGGTGTGACTGCTGCCACCACATCAACTCCCGAGCCAGAATATCTGGCTTTAGTACACCTGGGCTGATTGATCCAGTCCTCTTGAAAGAAGTAGGCCACTTGAGGTGCTGGTTTACTACCCAATTTTGTTGTTAGGAACCTCATACCTTTGATCCTTGCTCTACTCTCTCGTGTCCAATACTCTCTAACCAAAGTTCCTGAGCAGTATTCAGAATCACGCCGGGAATGGTGTATTTTTCTGGTAATAAATGAGATTTATCTGACAAAAAAATACCGGCAAATGCACCTGCCCTCTTAACCTCCTCTAATTGTTCATCAATTTCAACTTTCGTGCTATTATCACAAAGGACTACCTTTCCAGTAACTTCATTTGAGTCCAATGCTTTATGGTTGCATACTGCTTTGCTTATATTGCTCTTCGCCATAATATAAAGAAGCATTGGTAAGGTAATGCTCTGTGGAAGTAAGATATACCTTCCAAACTAAACCCATCTTCTAGAGTAAGTGATGCGTAAAACTCCGGTCGACCGAGCTAGCTCCTGCCGTCATGATCCAAGCGCTCCATTGTGTATTGAGTTGTGACCTCCATCATTCCCTGCAGCACCGACAACAAAAATGCCTTTCTCTATAGCTGAAAGAGAAGCTATGGCTACAATATCCTTGAATTAAGGTGTCTGGTTAAATCCAATAGACAATGACAAAATATCACACCATCAGCGATTGCTGATCGA